ACAGGTTAATTGTGTTCTAGCCTCAACATGGAGAGCAGGGCTTTCCCACCTCCTCCACAGCTGACATGTCTCAACCAGAAGTGCTGAAATATCCACCAAGACCTGGCTTCCCCTGCTTGAGTTTTAATAATTTCCATTCTTCAGCTAGGTAATCCCTCAAGAAGCCATTATCTGATGACCACAGACACACCTGAGTGACTTCATGGACAAGTTAATCTCCCCTCTGATGAATCTGTCCTTCCTAGGAGCTATCTCAAGGGGTGGAGGACGCTGGAAGGCAGAGGAGATGAAGGCTGGTGTGGTGTTCTTAAAGCTGATGTAGATGTGTACTCAGCAGCAGACTGGTCTGCAGTGGGTTCTCTGAGCCATCCCAGTAAGAAAGGAGGCCTAGTGAGAGATAACAAGGGTGTGTGTGTGTGTGTCTGTGTCTGTGTGTCTCTATGTCTGTGTGTGTGTGTGTGTGAGTGTGTGTGTGTGAGTGTGTCACAGGTGGGTTGGTAGAATTGTTTGCTTTTGAGAAAGAGGAATTAATCCTTTCCTGTATTTGCAGACTAACATGTGCCCTTCCCTGATAAAATTATGTGTTCCTGGTCAGTCAGTCTTCTGAGTTCATATAAAAATATGCACCTAAGATGGGATGTACTGAAAAAATATTAATTTAGTGGCTCAACATCCGACAAGTGCACATGAGACATCATCTGGCTGTATGGACCAATAAAGTGCTTGACAGTTTGATAGATTACTCTCTTATTTTATTTTATTTTATTTTAATGGAAATCTGCATAAATATGCAAAAAAAAAAAAAAAAAAGTGGTTTTCTGAAGATACCCATCGTGGTGCACGATGAAATATGTCTTTGAAATAAGCCTATAGCAGTGGGTTTTAGAACAGTAGGTCCCAGTCAGGCTAAACAAGGCTCAGAGGATGTGAGCTCCCCCAGGAATATCTATAGGATTATAATGCTCTAGTTAAAAAATCAGATATTTAAAGTAGCATAGTGAGGTAAACCAAAAGGTCTAATTTAAGCTGGTGGGAGAAACATGAAGGGAATTATGCTAGTGAAAAACCCCCTACTTTTCTTCAGATACCTTACGAGTTTGCCTTAGAGGCAAGTATTAGAAACGTTAAACCCCTCTCAGCCTTGAAATGCCTGAGTTATCTAGAAATACACTTCTACGAAGAGACCCTATTTACATCTTTACTTGTTCAGCCTAAACTGCAATGATGTCAGATGCACATCCACGTTGCACACACACACACACCCGTGAAGTAGACCGAGGGGCTCTGAGACTTTTCTTGGCATGAATCATGTGTGGGTTACTCACTCACCCTAAACGAGAGAGCCCAAGAGCTATATTTTTTTTTTTGCAAACCATCCTGACGGCTCTCCTGGGTGTGCGGTAACACAAGTGAGACACCGGGCTGGGGGTCTGGGGCTTCCGGTTTGTTCTGGGGGAATCTCTACCTCTGTGCTGCTGATGCCCAGTATTTCAGGCATCCTGGTGCTTTCTGTAAGGATCTAGGGGAGTGAGGAGGGAGGAGAGGAAGCGAAGCCGTTTAAATAAAAAGTAGCGGAAAGTAGCTTTTCTAAAGTGAAAACAGCGACGGCTTTAAAATGTATTGCCGGGGATTCTGGTCTCTTTGGAAAGAGCGTATTTCTTTCCTTGCTTTTTAGGCTCAGTGTGGTTCAAGCCTGCAAACCGAGGTCACCCGCCTGATCCCTCGCCACACTCGTTTCTAGAAAAGCCCATATTTACACCCGCGATCGCAGCGTCATTTAGAAGGAAAAATAAACAGCAAGAAAAAACACCTCACCCCAAAGCCCAGCAGCGCCCACAGCCCGAGGGAGGGCAGAGGGCAGCCCCTTTCCCCCCAGCCGCCTTTACAGCCGGGGCAGGTGGCCCGTCGGGGAAACGCGGGGGGCTCTCCCGAGCTCTCCTCAGCTGGGGAACAAGGGCAACCGAGTCCCGCGGGTCGGTGGCCCACGCGGTGGCGCCCTCCGCTCACGGACGGTCCGCGCTGG